CGTCAAGAAATGACCGCAAAATTAATTTTTCTTTCGTAAATACTCACCAAATGCAATATCAGACGCAAAAAAGTTTCAAACACTTTCTATCATAAAAACTTTTATTAAAAAAAATCGACTCTTAAAATTATTAAAAGATGCAATCCTTTAAGCAATTATATACGTGAGTAAATCGTGTGATGAAACTAAAATCATAAATTTAAGAAGTAAATTCTACAAGGTTTACAAAAAGTATAATTGCCGCAAGTCTATCAACTTCACGTTGTCGAAAATTATGATCAAATGACAGAAAATTAAAAGTTGCAAATGTAAAACGACGAAAAACTTTAATGCTATAATAGATGCTTAAAAGACACTGAAAAAATTACAGAATTTAGAATTTTAAAAAAAGTAAAGCGCGAAAAACTGACAAGGAACAACTAGTTGACTAGAAAAACATTAAAAAAAATATGAAATTGGAAAACAAGGACAAAGTACGAAAAAATAAGATAAAAGAACAAAAGTGCAAGAAACATTTACATGAAGTTTACAACCAACTTATTAACTAAAATCTTCTGAATGTTTGTGACAATGACCTGAGAAACATTGCAAATATTTCAAAAAATGAAAGTTAAATTTAAAAGCAAAAAAAACAGTTAATTATTTCAACTGGAAAATATTTTCTAGTGATAATCATTGTCATTATGTCTTTCAACTGTGGAAGTCTGAAACGAAAAGTTCTCGCACAATATAACTTCCGAATGTTCGACGTTCTTTGAAACGAGCAAGATCTTTTCTAGTGATAATTCCGCGCAACTGAAAAACCAAGAATTAAAGCACATTATTAATGTATGAAATTTTGAAATAGAAGTGCTTTCCCTTGAACATCTACAAATTTTAACCTTATTTTCATCATTAACAACAACTACATGACGTAGCCCTAATCCACGAAAAAGATGAAATATTGAAGGAAGCGAAGTATTCATCGACACTCGATGAGGGCTTGGATGCATATAAGGAATTAAATTCAACCAACAATTGTAATCTTCTTCTGACAACTGCAGTTTAATCAAACATTCGTCATATCTGAAACAATAAAGAATAATAAACTCTAAGACTTAAAATACAACAAAGAATTAACTCTGAAAATTAAATTTAAAATATACTGATCTTGGATATTCCTCAGCAAAATCAGAAAGTTGAACAGGTTCACAACCAGCGACTTCTGTACAACAGTTACAGTCTTCATAAAAAACCTAAACAAAGGAAAAAAATAAAACTAAAATAATTTTGAGAACTTATTCACTGATAAATGCCATACTGTTTTAAGATAGGAATGATTGGCAAGTTACACAAAAAGAAATTCCATCTTTGCAACATCTATAGCACAATCAAAGAGCATAAACTATTTTCTCGAATGTACTTTTTATTATTAACCGAAAATGAAGTTTTCTTTCACCACTAGTAAACAAGGAAATAAATCCTCTTACATCTTAAGAATGCAAACAAATAAGAAATTGTAAAAGGTTAAGCAAGCAACTCACCCGCTTTTGAATTAAAGTAATCAATTGTGATTTAAGAATCAGTCCTTTCAAGTGACCATAATCAGGTATTTCATCGTCGTTTACAGACAAAGTAAGGTTGTCAACAACAGGAAAACCGTGGTGAGAAGTCGAACATAAAATCTCCAGTACTCGTGAAACACGTTCTTTAGGCAACATGACTATAACGTCCTTTCGCATTATAGACCTCAAAAACTTTAGTTTTTTCAATCATCTCATTGAATGAATGTCAGATGCAAAACAAAATGGACTGTTAATTAACTATGTATTATGCACACCGATAATAT